AATTTTTTAAATAAATAATAATTATATAATTTGATTAATTGATTTATAAAAATATATTAATCATTAAATTTTATGATTATATCATATTTATAGAAATTAAATAGTTCTTACAATTTAAGAGTTTAATAAAACTAAAGAAATCTAATAACTTATCTATAATAAATAAGTAATCTCTATTAAAAAAAAAATAGTATAAATATTTTATAAAAAGCAAAAATAATATTTAAAATTGATAACTTTAATGAGATCACTAAGTATAAGTTGATTCTACATTTTAAATTTTAAGATTTTTAAGTAGATTTATTATTTATTTTCATTAAATAGCTTATTAAATCATTATAACAGATAAGTTTAATTAAATTTGTAAATAATTCTTTATAATTTATAATTTATAAAATTATATTTCTACATATTTAATTTACTAATTATAAATTATATTAAATATAAATTTATATAACTAAAAATAAAAATTTGTAAAAATAGAAGTCCGATGACCTTCTTGCAAATGTAACACATGTCCAGCCCCCTATGCACAAGTTCGTAATCACAAAGTAGTAACTTTTTAGTGTTAATTTTTTTTTAATATATTTACTGTGCTTAATCATATGACCCTTTATAATAAAAGGGGGAAACCTCCGAGAAAAAAAAGAAAAAAAAACCCAAAAAAAAAAAAAATACTTACTACCAAATGTTGTTATCCACTAATAAAATATTCAAAAAATATTCATAATTATCATTATTACTCTTGACATTTAAACATGCAAAATAATAATATCATCGTCTATTCACGGCCAAGCTTCCTTGGCCCTGTTCTCGGCCATGGCCCCGTCACCTCTCGGCCAAGTCTTCCATGGCCCCGTCACCTCTCGGCCAAGCCTTCCATGGCCCTGAACCTTCTAAAGGTTTGCCGACATTGAAAGTTCACCAGGAAGCCTTGGAATTTACTCTGATTGATTTAGTCAATCGAGTTTATGTCGGATTACAATCCCAATGATTTGGGAAGAGGATTTAAAAATTAATGGATGCTTATTGTTTGTGATAGAGCAAATTTCAAAGATTTTGCTTGAAAAAATCAATTATCTCTCGGCCAAGTCTTCCATTGCCCATGAAACTTAATTTTCACCCACGACCTGAAGATGATGATAATCTGATTTACCTGCATTATCTGACGGAAAGAATTTATTTATGCGCTCTAGTCAATCGAAATTTATGTTGGGTTTCGTACCACTGACATTCTTCACCTAGATGGATGACATACTTGATTCAAGACATTTCGCAGAATGATCCATTTGCTTTCTTGATGATGAAGATAAAGCAAATATTATCCCAATTTCATCAAAACATTGGTAACGTCTCATGTAGCGGGGATAATTTACTATTTTGAATAATATTAGGAGGAGGACAAATCACGAGATTCAGGGATAAAGCTTGTCATGATGTCAAGTTTTTTTTTTTTGAATTTTCAAAACATTTGACTTTTTGATTCATGCAAACTGAAATAAATGTAATAAAGATTAATTTATATTTTATTAAAAACTCGATTTGGTCGCGTAAAAAAAAAAATTTAAATAATTTTTATTCAGTAAAATATGATTTATACACGAAAAATAAAAAAATGTGTGTTTAATTAATGGTCTACTAGCATACTATTTTCTAGTTCTACAAAACCAAAAAATAGTAGCCCCCGCCAATTTCTTCCAATTGTCGGTAGTTGTCTAAGATCATAGAAAACTGCCACCGAACCATACTCGCTCTTTGCTCACGGTGCAATTTCTCCAATTCTACGCGCCGCGATTATTCGGTTTTTTCATGGAGTGGGTATAATCGTCGGTCGCGTGACTTTTTCGATCAGCAAAGACTCTTCTAAAAATATTAAAATTCATAGAAATGAGAGATTAAAATAAAGGTTATAAAAATTTTTAAATTTCATGATATGTATCAAAAATTGGGGGGGGGGGGTTTTTTTACCTTGATGCCCTTCTCCGTGTGTATCCATATAAAAATCCAGTATTAAATCTTTACTTAGATATTTCATTTTTTTACTGTCAAAATTTATTGAATTGATTTAGCAAGGAAAATATAATGAAAAAATATAGCTTATAAATATCAAAGAAATACTCACAGTTATGATTAATAAAAGGAAAATTTTTACTTATTTATTTCAAGAATTATATTTTAAAAAATAAAAAGATATTTTTGATTTTTTTTGCGCTCACATATCGTTTTTTCTTGTATCACGGGACCGAGGAAGTCCGAATTAGAAAAAAATTTTGACGAGAATTAACATCAAAAAAAAAAAAAAAAGATTTCCCGGTAAACGGCATCAACTTATTGTTGAAAAAAAAAAGATGCCAAGAAAATGATAAAAGATCTCAAACCTTAAACGTTATGCAGATCTCCTGATTTCATTGACGCCAAACTCAAAAAAGATTTTTTTTTTTTTTTTATATTATTAAAATTTGTGATTAGCAAAAAGATTTGTTGTCTATAGATTGACCCACCCATACCTGGGAAGTTTGTTAGACACCCTGACATAACTTTCCAAAAAAATGTATTTTACGGACATTGCCGTATTAAGAAATTTAACACATATGATGAATAATAAGTGACAAATATACTAAAAATTCTCTGTTCTTATGAAAATGGAGAAATGTAAGGGTGACAAATATTTATCACACAAAAATTCACGCACGTGAACATACCACAAATTTTACTGGAGAAATTTTGTGTAATCACGAGGGTTACATAAATTTTATGGAGACGCCATTGACGCTTTTTAACTTTTATTTATTCAAGAAACATTATTTTAAATATATTTATCATCTTTTGTAAATAAGTTCACGAGCGAATTTCAAAGTTTTCTAAAGAGAATTGATTGGAATCAAGCGATTATATAACGTTTGTTGTTTTCCATTCAATTAATAAACATCATATCCGATGCAAATACGGAGAAGGTTTCAAGTAACTAACTTTCATTCTTTAACGGTGACCCATACGACCATTTGAGCCTATTAAATTTTTTTTTAAAAAATAAAAATAAAAATAAAAAATAAATAAAAGAGAATTATATTTAAAGAAACTTACATGTTCTCGTCGTTCTAGCGGTATTCTGATCATTTCATCCATTACTTGCAAAGATATGAAAGCCGTAAGTCTTAAATTAATCTGGCCCGATCGACATGATCAACCAGCAATCCGTCATAACTTTAAAAAAAATCCGTGTAGGTTGGTGGCGCAGCAGTAACAAATAACATGTGACGACTAGTATTTGGACCACTTAAAAAACGAGTCGCTGAGAAAAATTGCATCGCGAAAATCACGTGATAAAGTGACAGTTAAACATCACATAATAGCACAAGCCACATTTAATTATGAACTGCGCCACCAACCTGGCTAAAATTATTCAATGTGTCGCCATGCATAATATATTTGTAAACCCAATCAATTGATTGAACGCAGCTATCAATATCAAAAATCCGAAAACGACTTTATTATGTTGCGATGAATAATCTCGTAATCAAGAAAGATCTTGAATTAGTTATGGAATTTCATCTTGCTCGATTTAATATAAAATTTATCAATCTGTTAGGCAAGGAAGGAAGGCAATGAAACTATAAAGTTATTTTCATCAATTCGATATTTTATATTGTCATTAAAGCACAATTATAATATATATTTTCTTATAAAATTTATTAAAAAATGACGAACGGCGTTAATTTTTGTACAGCTTTTTCGAAGATACACACATTATATATATAATTACAGCTTAAAATCTTAAATACTAAATATTCCATAATACCCTTTTACCCGAATAAATTTGTCCGTTTTAATTATTCTCGATTTTCGTTCTTTAGTCGTTCGGTATAGTCGCGATGTTCGTTCGTTATATCCGGCGAAGTTGGAATCGGCGCGAATGTTGACGATATCCTTAAATTTTATTTTTTTGTGGTTATTTTTTGGGGGATATTATATATATATATATTTATAATTTTTGAAATTTTGATATTTAATATAGGTCGATGTTTTTATTTTATTTTTTTATTTAGGCGATCGATTTAAAAAAGAAGGCTTTCGATCCTTAGCGTTGGATAAGGAAGAGGATGGAGAGAGATTGGTAGTCTTCTTGGCCTTCTTCGAGGTCTTGGGCGACATCGATTGTTGTTGTATGTGAACGAAACGTCCGGAGTACAAAATCTGCAGTTTGGTTCGACATGACGACGACGACGATTACGATTCATATTTATGAATTATGAATAAAATTTTTTTTAAAAAAAAAAAACTCAGTCAAACCCGGACTTATTTATATAAAAATATCGATTACAAAAATACCTTGACAAATGAAGGAACTAATTCGTTATTTCCATTTAACAATAACTTGATCCGTGATTGGTGTGGTATTTCATGATTGATAAGGCGTGTACGTATGAAGAATCTTGTGTGTTCTGTTTTGTTGAAAGAAATCGGAACCGGTCCCGTTATCTTTTTAAGAAAGACTATTTTGGATATATGAAAACGCAAGAGTCCCCAATTAAAATTTGTTTTTGTGCTAGTGAAAGGGACAAATGTAAATGTAATGTCAATGATATCAATGACATTTTAGGAGATATGAAAAGAATTGGTCTAACCATTTGATAAACGTTTGTTTTTGTAAGTTCATTGACCCATTTTATCAAAGCTTTTATAATAAGAAATAGGAAAAGGGGATGGTCAAAAAAAGATAAGGTCCCTATTTAACAGGTTATTGTTTGTAAGTAGAATCATTTTAAGTGCATTGCAGTAAGTAACTCATGTGCCAAAATAAATATAACTAAATAGGATTAAATGAAGGTGTATAACATTATCATATTATAAACGATTAATAAAAAAAAATAGAAGCTGTGATGTTTAGTAAATTTAAAATATTAATTTATTTATTAGATTATTTCAATTCCATTCAAAAAAAGAAAAGAAAAAGAAAGAAGAAATAAGAAAGATAAAACCAAAAAAAAAAATTGGTTAGGGATATATAAATTCGGAAAATCTTCTTATTTGCTCTTAAAAAAGAAAAGGAAATAAGTACGCAGCATTCGATCAAAATGAGTAAACGGATTACCACAAAAGTCAATAAATTTTTTTGAAATTTATCAATTGAGAAATCCCTTCAATTTCAAATAAATTATGACAGTCAAGCGGATGGTTTTCGACAGGTGTGATAAAAGATGTCGATTTATACAACCCGTTTTGAATTATGCAGGGGGAATTTGATAAAAAAATTTTTTTCAGATGGCGTTAAATTATTGGAGATTGCTTACAAAAATCTAGATGTTACAAAGCAATTCCGGTAGATCATCAGCAAATAAGAGTATGGCTGAACGTTGCATCCGTCATCTGGTAAATGTTCTTATCAAAATTCTTCCCAGACTATTTCAAAAATGAAACTTTTTACTTTCAAAAAGGGTATGTATCATGTGTGTGTATTTGCACTGCCCCAACTTTTTTTTTTTCAATTGTATTGTTGTGTTATCTATTGTCTTATTTATAAGTTCATGTGAATTTTAAACTAAAAATAGATGTCATCAGATCAAATATATTTTTTTTCTTTTTTTTTTTTTTTTTTTTTTTTTACAAAAAAAACGCAATTAAATATATTTTTTTTGATTAAATTAATCTTCCACATTTTTTGCATAAAAATAAAAATATCTATAAACGAACTCATAAAATTATTAAAACGTCTTATATCACTAAAAACCTTTATATTTTAACAAAAATAACAAAGTTACGCTAAAAGCTAGAAAAAAACGGTTTTAAAAAATTTATTAAAAAAGCAAAACCTTATCTCATTTTTGTGGATACACATTCAAGCTGTGCGGATTTACAATCAAACAATTTATGTAAATACAAATTTAAAATATTGGATTATATGGATGGATATTCCCGAGTTCTAATGTCTATCCATCTACTTTGCATAGAATATTTTATAAAATATCAAAATATTAAACTAGATATTCTATTTTA